CCACTAAGATATATATGCCATTTATCAAGAGCACAAATAAGAGCATAGCATTCCTGCTCAATTGGTGACCATTTTTTCTGTGATGAAGTAAATTTCTTTGAAATGTATCCAGATGGGTGTTCTCCATCAGGGTAATTTTGCAATAAAACACATCCAATGCCTTGATCGGAGGCGTCTGTTTGAACCTTAAACGCATATTTATTATTTGGTAGACGAAGAACGAGAGCAGATGTCAAGATTTGCTTCAATTGTTCGAATGCTTGTACTTCTTCAGCTGTCAATGTAATTTGTTGCTTCTGGTATTTTCTGGCTTCTGTTTTGGTTGGTGGCACGAATTTACGCAGAGGTTCAGTGATGATGGAGAATTTCGGAATAAATTTTCTGTAGTATTCGGCAGCTTTCAAAAACCTGGACGCTTCAGCCGGTGTTTTTGGGATTCGTGTATTGATTAAGCCGCGAATGTTGTTCGGGCTTGGATGGATTTTGCCCTGTTCGATTAAGTGTCCAAGATATTCAATTTGAGTTTTTGCTATAGTACATTTATCGGGATTTAGTTTGAATTTTGCATCTTTTAATTTCTTGCAAATTTCGTTAAGATGAATTAGATGTTCTTCAAATGTCGATGAATAAATGATGATGTCGTCGATATAAGCGAGGGCATAGTGCCAACGGGATGGTCCTAATATGTGATTGATTATGCGCTGAAATGTCGGCGGGCCGTTGCTGATTCCTTGAGGGAGCACCGTAAACTGGTAATGATTATCTCTTGTGCTAAATGCCGTTTTGGATCGATCTTGACGTGCCAGTGGTATTTGAAAGTATCCTGCTTTGAAATCAAATTTTGTATAGAATACGGCGGCTGCCAGCTCATCGAAGATTTCATCGATTCTCGGCAGGGGAAAGACGTCTTTTATCGTAACATCGTTCAGCGTCCTATAATCAATGCAGAATCGAATGGTGCCATCCTTCTTTTTCACGAGTACGACAGGTGAAGACCACGGCGATGTTGATTCTTCAATTTGGCCTCTTTGCAGTAATTTATTGACTTCTTCTGCTTTGGTCTGCTAATCTTTGGCACTTGCTGGATACTGCTTACAAAAGATTGGAGGATGATTACCAGTTTTAATAGCTGATTGTGGTTCGATATTAACGATGGATGGCGTTGGATCAAATATATCTTTATTTCGCCAGAGAATATCTTGCACCTGTGTTTTTTGTGTTGGATCTTCAAGGTGTTGTGTTAATTTGTTAATGTGGACACGAATTTCTTGAGGATAGCATATCTCACGTAAATGTTGCTGTAAATCGTTTCCGCTTAAAAACTTTTTATGACATTTATCACACTGACCCTCCGTTTGATTAGACGAATCATCCGCTTGAAAACGGACGGTTCTGCTGTTCGACGAGAGCCTTGATGAATGATCTTGATTCAAATTTGATGATGGTTTATTTAGAACCAAACAGACAGAAGGTTCTAGTTCTCTTGAGATAATTCCAACCATAGTGTTCTTCGCTAATGTTCTTTGTTTGTTCTGCGCATTAATAAGAAGCACTTTGGTTCTATAATTTAATACATATCAAAATTTGATGGTTTTTTTCTAGAGAAGCGTACCTCGAGATTTTTACATATTCGGAATCAGCGTGACGAGTTACGTTGTACGGCGCGAAGATCTCGTCGGGGTATTTCCGATTTTTGGGGTCTTTAGACTCCACTTAAGTTTTCACGGTATATTACACTATATTCAACTGTACACATCAAACATACTGCGTCTTTTTTTCTTTTCTTTGATCTTATTTTTCTTCTTTTTCTCACTTTTCTTCGTCCCTTTATATTCCTCGTCGTTGTATACATGTGTGTATTACGTTATTTTGCTTCAAAGAACAAATAAGGAAAGGAAAACATTTATATTTTCAGCGAAATGCACGTATTCTATGTTCGAAAGAAGCAGTGCTCACTGCAAGTTTATCCTATATTCTACCAACTTCCCGGATTAAAAAGTTAACAAATTTGAAAATACCCCTCTCCAGTTTTCCTGGCAGTTTGAAGTACACAAGTTGTGCTCTATGCTGAGCTGCTTTTTAGAAAAGGGTACAGTGTACTTTTTGAGATATAGAGCTGTCAATATCGCTGTCAATGCTCCTTCTGTGTGCATATAGAAATAATAAAGCAAGAAACGAAGAAAAGAACAAATTTTATGTTTTTATCCAAAAAGGAAAAACGCACTCGCTATAAAATGGGTGTAGATTCCGGCAACTTGACAGATGAAGAAGTTAACAAATTTGGATGTACCCCTCTCCGTTTTCTACTTCAGTTTGAAGTACACAGGTTGTACTCCATGCCATGCTATTTTTTAGAAGAAGATACCGTTGTGTTTTTGAGTTATAAGGCTATCAATATCACAGTTGTACGCATGAAAGAGTGGGTATCTACGCCAATATAAAGCCAAATGAGTTTTCAGAGAATTTTCTGAACTACCATGACTTGCCGGCTTTCTCTTCGGGCCTTGGTAGTGAGAGATATAATGCATATAAAACAGAAATAAGAATGGTTGAAAGGCCGCTATCATCCATAGTCAGTATCTTCTTGAAACAGAGCTATTGATAATTAATGAATAAGAGTGTCAAATAATGAACAATAACTACTCATCCATTACCGTTATATTCATCATTGTATAACAAAACATTCATATCTATATAATCCACGTAAAAATAGTTCACTTAGATGAAACTTAGATGCTTTTTTCCTTCTATGTACACTATATAAAGCAAGATATAAAGCAAGAGATATAGAGCAAGAAATAGAGAGAAGAACAAATTTTATCGTTTTATCCAAAAGAAAATTTGCACTCACTATGAAATTAGTGTATATTCTAGCAACTTCCCATATTAGAAAGTTAACAAAGTAGAAGGTACCCTTCTTCAGTTTTCTGCCGGCTTGAAGTACACAAATTGTACTCTATACCAAGCTAATTTTTGGAAAAAGGTCTCCTTTAGCTTTTAAGATGTAGAGATCTCAGTACCACAGACTAAAGTTAGTAAAATATATTGATTTCACTTTAATT